CACACACACACACACACACACACACACACACACACACACACAACACACACACACACACACACACACACACACACACACACACACACACACACACACACACACACACACACACACACACACACACACACACACACACACACACACACACACACACACACACACACACAAATAACCAGATTCCTCATATTTTCCAATATTTTCTGGGTTTTCGTTTTCCCCCCCCACTTCCAATATTTTCCCATACTTTCGAGGGAATCGAGGATTAATTATGTCTGTGTGTTTTTCCCTCCTGAGCTATGAAAAGCTCATGACGTCGCTGGGGATCGGCATCTTGGCTCGTTCACAGGAGCCTGGGTGCCCACGGGCGGCGGCAATCTTGGCCCTGCTGGCTCCGCAACCTTCGAGGCCTCCCAGACGGGGTCCGAGCAGATGGTGTCGGAGGATCGCGCCGCATCGGCGACACATCGGCGATGCCTCGGCGATGCCTCGCCGATGCATTGGCGATGCGCTGGCGACGTCGGCGATGCATCGGCGACGTCGGCGTGGAGAAGATCGAACTCCGCATCGAGCCGCATCGGCGATGCATCGGCGGTGCGGCGCGATGCTTCGACCCCACCTACGCGGCCCCCATCTAGGAGGCCTTGAAGACTGAGGGCCCTCGCTCCCATCCGCGTCTGCGGTGTCTGTGGTGTTCTCTCGGCGTCGACCCTGGGGGGGAGGTGAGAGGAGGGGCGGGCATCCTCAGAAGGCTCGGCAGTCCCCTGGACCTCTGCCCTCCCCGAAGACAAAGAATACTTCTCTGGAGGCCACCGGGCTTCTGAGGAGCCCCGCCGCCTTCTGAGCAGGCCTTCTCCTTCTGATTTCTTCCCCTAGCTCGCCGCCGGCTAGCGTTCTATCTGCCAGTCCAAACCTCCAGCATCGGCAGCGAGTCTCTTTTGAGTTTTTCACGAGGGGCCGATGCAAGCGGGTCGCATAACTGGGCTCAGCTTGAGATCGTCCAGAACTTGATCGCCCAATCGAAGCGAAAGCCACTCAAAAGAAGTTCAGAAGAGTGCGCACTCACCTCTGCCCCGCTGGCAAGGTACCCGCAAATCGCGGTATCTCGTGACGCACTGTCCTGTCGAATTGCTGACGATGATGGACTACGAGCCACTCGAACCTCACATTCTCTGGCCCACACGTTCCATCTGCCGGTCCAAACCTGCCTCCATGGAGCATAGGCTGGATGCTACGAAGATGTTCTGAACAGAACCTCGCACTCGAAAGGACTGCACAGAGCTTGCGTTGCCAGGCTGCGAAAGTGTGTAAGCCGAAACGGTCGCAACCAATGCCTACAACCGGCGCGCGCCAACCTGGATTACGGATCCGCGGATCCGGCGCGTGGGCTGCACGCCCACGGATCTGGCGACGGAGCACGTCGCCTCCGTGTGGAGAGGGCCCGTGGCTCCTCGACGCGCCCCGTTCCGTCGCGGCGCTTCCCCGAGGAGTGAGGAGTCGAGAGCTGCGTCTGGTGGCCACGGCGAACCTCTCGGCCACGGAGTTGTCCTACAATGTGGACGCCCGAAATGGGTACGGAAACAAAGGGCACAATGCCCAGCAACGAATGTCGCTCCAAAGCAACAGCGGCCGCTGTTGGGCAGGCGGCCTTCTGTCTCAAACGGACACAGCCGCGGCGGTGCGGACAGCGAGTCCTATTCAAAATGAGCAGGAACAGCTGTTGGGCATTGTACCCATCCTTTCCGTACCCATTTCGTTCGTGCCGATCCGACCGAGGTTCAGGGCACGGTCCGACAAGCAAGAGCCTGCCTGAACCCAGAGTGCCCCCTATGTCAGCACCTTGGCAGTACTGCCCCGAAGCAGCGGATGCCAGGGATAGGCACCTGGCCGAAGGGTCTGCACGAGAAGCCCTCCTTCGTTCAGCAGGCCCTTTGGCCATCGCAGATCGATGCAACGTAAAGACTCCTCGAGTCGAGAGCTCGGGACGCTTGGCGTAACGATGCGTCATGGCATCGAAGTGAAAGGCAGACGGAAACAGCCGCGAGGTTCTCATCCGCATAGGCTCGCAGGCGGGGCGGAGGATAAAGCTATGGGACGGATGCGCGCGATTGCACAGTAGCACCACGAGTTGCGAGGCGTGGGACTTGGTGGTGGGACATCAACGGCGCCGAAGGCGAACCCACTCTGACGGATGTAGACGAGAAGCGAGAGAATGGGGAGCGGGGTGCAGGGGGCGGCAGTGACAAGTCGACGGATGAGAGAAAGAAGGTAAAAGGTGAGGATGCGAAGAGGAACAACGATCACTGAGACCGTGAGGGACACGACAACAACGAGGAGGCCACAGATCATGGAGAGGCTGTCGAGGATAAGACGGGCGGCCGATCGTACCTCAGGACATATCTCAGGCCGTATCGGAAAACCAGTTCCCGCCATTGTGCCAGGTCGAGCGTAGTTCTTCGACTTTCGCACGCGGGGAGCCCCGAAACAGATGCTGGACTGAAGGGCTTTGACCTCCAGATGCGCTCATGTCTTGCCCGAGGGTTCAAAATGACATCCAGGCAAGCGAAATCCCAAGACTTTTGGTATACGGTCGGCGGAGATATCGAAACCCTGACTCCGAAGCTGTTCGACGATACTCGTGACGCATTCCTCTTCAAGCCAAGTCAAGAGCAAACACACGTCTGTATCTGCCTGTCGACAGAAGCTGGGCGACGGTAACTATCCTCGAAGACCCCGCGTTCAACAAGGCGTCGGTGCAAGAACGCGTCGCCAGTTCGAAGCGAGCGCCGCGAGAGAGCCAGAGCAGAGGCTGCGGGCCACGCCGAAGTTCGAGCGCCCGGTGCGAATCTGCTCCTCCACCACCTCGGTGCGGTGATCTCTCGGGATGCTGCCGGGGCGGCTGGAAGGAGACGGCAGAGCGCAGGGTCGACTGGGGGGGAGAGGGGTGAAGGGGCCCTGGGATACATAAATAAATACACACCAACAAACATATCCCCCATATTTTTGGGGTTTTCGTCTTCCCCCCCACTTCTTCTGGGAGTCGACGATTCATTGTGTCTGTGTGTTTCTTTCCCTCCTGAAAGGGGGGCTGGCCATCGCTCCGACGTCCATTCCCTGTGTTTTTTTTGGTTTCGTGCGTGATTGTCTCGCCAAATGATCAAGGATGCTCCTCGATGGTCCTCGCCGAAGGAAAAATCACACGCCCGAGCGATGCCAAGGAGGGGTGGGAGGGGAGGGGGGCTCGCGGAAGGGGGGCGGGAGAGGCGCAGGGGCATCCGAGCCCGGGGTCGCCAGGACACATCCCCCCGTCCCGCGGTGCTGTGGCCGAGCTGGCGCGAGGGAGGCGGACGAGGGAAGAGCAGGAGGACGCGGAGGAGGAGCAGGGGGAGAGGAGGGAGGAGGAGGAGGAGGAGGAGGGGAGGAAAGAGGAGGGAGGAGGAGGATGAGAGGGATGAGGAGGATGAGGAGGGAAGAGGAGGAGGTGTGAGGAGAGGGGGAAACGGTGCTCGGGCTTGACGGGAGCAGGCTGGCCCGTGGACCGCTCCTGGGGCGCGCGGGGGCCACGGAGCAGCGAGTCGGGCCGGGCGGCGGGCTCGAGCGGAGCTGTCTGCACCCTCGGCATGGCCACGGACGTCTGGGCGAGCGAGAGCGTCGGGGCCTCCCAAGGCGTTCTGAGATCGAGTGGGTCCCCCGGAAGATTTTCGTTGCTGGTCCAAAGATTGTTTCTTGGCCCCAAGATATGTTTGGTCAAAAGAGAGAGAGAGAGAGAGAGAGAGAGAGAGAGAGTAGAACAATAGTTGGTCCCACGCAATTGCTTTGGTCGTTGCAACTGCCGATGCATGGCGGCGCGCGGGCGGCTGGCTCTGTACCACAGCACGGGCACGCACGCTGATCGATCACTACCATGTGCCGCTGGCGGAGGGGAAGGATGACCGGGTGCAACGAGAAGGCCCACGCGAATAACGCACCACCAAGCCCCGAGAATGCCGGCTATAACGATTCGGGAAGAAGAAGCGCAACACTGTAAGGTCCTCGACAAATGCTGCAACAGCCAACACCTCAAACATCGGCGGAATCTTCACGAGGGCCCGCTTTAATGCGGGTCGCATAACCCGGCTTAGCTTGAGAGACGAATCGTCAATGACTCGATCGCCGAACCGAAGCGTATGCCACTCCACAGACGTTCAGGCGAACGCGCACTCACCGCTGCCCTACTGGGAAAGTACCCGCAGATCACATTATCTCGTGACGCACTTCGTGACGCACTGTCCGATCGAAGTGCTGACGATGATGGACCACGAGCCAGTCGAACCTCACATTCTCTGGCCCACACGTTCCATCTGCCAGTCCAAACCTGCCTCCATGGAGCGTGCGACACTGCAAAGACTTCCCGAACCGAAGACTCGCACTGGAAGTGCATACAGCTTGCTTGTCAAGCTAAGCAGTAGGCCAAAGCGGTTCTCGCGGTGGCAGCCAACGCCTACAATCGGCGCGCGCTACCATGCATTACGGATCCGTGGAACTGGCGCGTGGGCGTCAGGTCCACGGATCGGGGAAAGCCCTCCCCCAAAAAATAGCGCTACTACAGCCTGCTTTTGCGACGGAGCGCGTTGACTGCGTACGGGAAAGGGACCCGTCGCTAATCCACGAGCCTTGTTCATACTTGCTTTCCCTCGACCGCGTCAACACCTCCCCCGCCTCAAAACAAGCCACGCCCCGAACACGGCCCACGCCTCTTTCGGTTCATAAAGACCCACGCCACTTTTCGGAAGGCTCCTCTCGCCCAAACGCGGCCTACGCTGTGCCAGATGTCTCTTGACCCAACGGGAAGGAAATAGTAACGCATTGGGACATTGAAAGGCACATAGACGAGCCCAATGGCACGGGCATAGCACACACTAACATGTGCATGTGTGTGGGGGGCATCACACAGATCTATACATGTGTATCTACACACAGACAGAGAAACACACCCAGGAAGAGAAACATATACATATCTAGAGAAAGAGAGAGAGAGAGAGGGAGACAGAGAAATGAGGATGGAAGTCTACATACATCGTTATATAAGTACTAAAGAGAGGGACATACGCAGATATACATATTACCCAGAACAACAAAACGGTATACATATACGCACATTATAGCTAGTTCCACACACAAGAGCGATACGTATATGCACATGAGCGGAGAAGTGAAATCAGCGCAGATAGCCTGCCGAGACTCTTTTGATTCCTGGCGGCAGCCAGTTCACACGACGATCTGCTTTCGCGACTGGCGGTCGCGCGCCCTGCAGACGCTGAGGGCGAGCACCCAGGCTTTTACTGCCAGGAACTCGGGCGAGGGCTTCGAATACTGCACCTGGCCAGCGGGCTGCTCGAAAGGAGAACCAGACTGACGTCCATTCGGTCCCAAGGTAGGGCGAGAAGCAGGGCGCGAGCCGGGCGAGAAGCAGGGCGCGAGCCGGGCGAGAAGCAGGGCGCGAGCCAATGTGTTCCATGGTCGACATGATTTCGTTTGTTCCGCTGTCGCTGCCAAACGGAACCCAAACGAACCCGGCCTGCGCAGTCGTCAAGACACCATTCAGCTTGCGCCCTGGCGGGAAGGGCCGGAGCAGAGGCGGCAGAACGGGATCGCACGAGCAGCGGCCAGTCGTCGCAGTCTGCCAGGTGACCGAGGGACCGGGAGGCGACAATTGGAGCAGCTCCTCGCTACTGACTTGCTCTGACCGTTCTACGCCGAAGCCGAACTGCACTCATGCATGGGCGTCTACATTTGCTGTGCTCACACGGGTACCTGGAAGACTTGAGGTTCGCGTACAAGGATCAAGATGAAATCATCGCGGCGCGCACCAACCCAGTGACATTTCATGGTGCCTGATTGGTCTACGACTCATTCAAGATCTGGTCTCTCCGGACGTGATTTCGACTGACTGGCTATTCATCTGAAACAACTGCCTCTAATTGCTCCCCCACGTCTCCTGCATATCGTTATCCTCGTCCGTCTCCTCTTCCTGCTCTAGATGCTCCTGCTGCTGCAGCGGTTTCTGCCTAGTGCTGCTCAGTTGCTCCTCCTCCCCCTCCTCCTACTTGTTCTTCCTCCTCTTCCTCCCTCCAATCCTCCTCCACCATCTCCCCCTCCTCCATCTTCGTCCTCCATAAACCCCTGTCCTTCCTACACCTCAAGATTCAGTATCCTGATTGCCCTCATCCTCATCTCACCCTTTCTCTTTAAGCCCATCCGTGTGGCCCATCTGTCGCAAACTGCAAACCTCCCTTCCAGAGCGTGAACCTGTGAGGGGCATCAGGCGGACTGCGCACGCAAAGCAGCATGAGAGCAAGAGAGACACACCGACAGAACAAGGCAGCGTGCGAGAGAGAGAGAGAGAGAGCAAGATAATGACAGAGAGACAGCAGTGACAAATATCTGCCAACTCCGCGTGGGCCCCGCATAATCACATTCCATGATCCTCGCCGTGGTTACCTGTCAAGGTCGGAATCAAGCCTGACCGTGATAAAGTGCCGACCGCCCGCTCGCATCACACCAGCAGATCGATCGGGATGTCCGCGTCGTCGGACCGACCACGTCGAGTCCCGATAAAAGGATGGACGGGTGTGCCGCCCTCCGGGGCCACAAGGCGGGCATTGGAACGCACTCCAAGTCGGATCCATCGATCCGAAGACCCTGAACAGTGCCCGACACCGCGAGGTCACATCATGCAGCTGGGCCCCCAAAAAGGACCTCGCCCTCGAGGAAGCGAAAGGCTGTCCACGCCCGGCACTCGACGGAACGCCCGCGGAAGGCGTGCGAAACGGAGGCAGCTCCGTCTGCGGAGGATCGCGGCGAGCAGTCGACCCCCCCGAGAGGTGTCCACTCGCCGGCGCCAAAACGGACCCGCAGCCGCGGCCGCTCGGGCCAGGTCCACGGGCCGCGACCCCGCCGATGGGGGGAGGCGCGCTCTCGCGGATGCCCCGCGCGGGACGTGGCCGCGCATCTGCGGGATCGCGCCCTGGGATCCAGACCGCGAGGGCGCGGATACGGAGGCATTCGCCTTTCATGGTCCACGCTGGGGTGCCGAGGGTCTCTAGGGTCGGTCACATCGTGCTGGCGCTCGCGCTGCAGGTCGGGGCACGGACGGCCGACCAATGCGCCAGTGCTGACGCCTTCGTTGGCCGTGGCCGTGCCCCGTGGGCGCACGGCTTTGCGCAGTCAAGCACTCGTGTCGCAAACACATTTACATGTTATCTTCCCGGCGAATAGCCGTTTCGGATTGGTCGGGGCTCTCTTCGAGGGCACCTTCTGAAGGATGTTGACTGTACCTGGCCCTGGAAGCAAGGAAGAAAAACATCGCCGCACGGACAAACACGCAGTCGAGTCGACCTGCTGTAGGCATACCAACGCGTAGCGTGCCACAAACATGAATGGGACGAGGAGAGAGAGAGGATGAGTGTAAAAGAAAATGGAAAAGGTGGGGGAGGTAGAGAAGCAGGAGGAGGACGAAGCATGAACGGCGAACAACTGTCAACTATACATTCCTTACGCAGACACGCTGTGGCCAGACTCAGTTCAAGTGACAAAACCTACGCAGAGCGGTCCGTGCCCTCGAAACCGTTGGAGATCGTGGCCACCGATGCCGTTTTCATCCCTCACGGTCGTTGGCGGGCTGATTGGTGCCTGTCAAATGCTCGAAGAAATCCGTCAGCTGTGAATTACCCTCTGGATCTTTGGATCTCGGCCTGCGGTGCTGGTGATCTAGAGCCTGCACGCGCGCATCATTCCAGCCCTTTTGTTGTCTCACTCGCATGTGGTGGTCGTCCCCGACGGGCGCGCCCACGTTGCCCACCTCTCACATGTCGCATCGAAATGCCATCGCCACGGGCTCTTTCTGAGGAGATCCACGCAGGGCGAGACAGAGCCAGTGCCCCACGCAGCGCGCCACAGCACGAACCCAGCCTCGGCCCTGTCTCTGCCGTTTCCCCCGCCGACCGAAGCACGGCACACACAGTATAGCAATTCCAATCGTTATGTTTCCCACTTCGTGGAACAAATGACGCAGTGGTCAGCGACCTGAAGGACAGCGCTATAGCCAAACAGCTGAAAGAACAGCGCTCGCACGCGTTTCTGGGCCTGCAGCCGCGTCGCTGGGCGCCGCCAAGCTTCCGCGCCATCCCTCAGCCCAGCGTGGCTCTGTCCAGCGGGTCCCGCTGCTTGAGCTGGCAAAAGGGCCTTCTCGCTCGGGCCGTCGCCGCGCCTGCTTTCCTCGCGTCGCATGGCATTTGCGCCACATGCCACTTGGAGAATAATCGGTGCACGTGCTGACGGGGCGTTTCCCGTAACCCTCAGCGCTCGAGCGCCGCGGCGGTTCACTCTGCCTATGCCAGCTCCGCAAGACAGGAGGTCCACGCGAAGAACACCTTCGTCGCAGCAGAGCCCGCGATTCGTTCCCGTGGGCGGCAACTCCAGCGCAACCTGACTGATGTGGATGAGCCGCTCCTTGCCGCGGGAATCACCAACTTGGATTTCGAACCTGTCGCCCATGTGGACGCGGGGGCCAGCTTGGAAGCACAGCGCCAGGCAAGGGCTGCCAACCGCCCCGCGGCCGACGCTCATAGGGAGGGCGCCCTGCCGCCCGAAGCTCCACAGGCTGCGCCGCCAGCAGGGCAAGGATTCCCTGACCCTCCCCCCTGGCAACCAATCCTGCACACCATCGTAGGGTTCGTGCCCGCGTCTGCAGATCCTGTGCCCGGCCACCAGGCGCCCGCGCGACGACGCTGCGCCCCCCGCTGGCTGGGGGGGCCACCAAATCATGCCCCGCGCCTAAATGAGCACGCCACAAGGCAGTTCCCTGGGTCCCCACCGGTCCCCCCCCGAGCATCTGCCAAAGCACCGGTTGGAGCAGCGTTCGGTTTGCCAGCGGTTCTTGTCGACACGTTTCGGCGGCATCTGCCCGCGTTGCCGCCCTGCCGCGCGCGCGGCCGCACCCGGGGTAGCCGCCGCTCCCGCAGGCGGCGGCCAACCGCAAGGCGGGCCCGCGGGCCCTCCCTCCACCTGGAAGCCTTTTCCGAACGCTCAACCAACAAGCGGTGCGTCCCGAAGGGCGCCCGGGACCTTCGGGCACAGTGCTTAATGCAGAAGGCGGCGCGCACCGTGCACAACAACACTGAGGCTGCGTGATCTGAGCTTACGATGCTCCCGAAATGCGCCCTGCGCCCTCACGCTCACGGCGGCCGTGGCAGCAGGGCGACCGGCGAAGCGCTGACCAAAGCGCTGCGCTGGCGCTGGCTGGACGGGCCGCCCTGTGGGCCGCGACCGTCGAGGCTCGCGCTGCCGAGCCCGCCTCGCGAGCCTCACAACGAGAAGAGAGGTGCGTGCAACTCTCCACGGGCGCCCAGTACCCCAAAAACTGCTCGGTTCTACCCGGCGAACCTCCCGTGGAAATCACCCCCGACGTCGTCGAACAGATGCGCCGGGAGCACGCGCGCAGCCGCTAAGCTGTTGACCTCGCAACCCCCCTGGCTGCCCGCGCGGCTGCCTCACAGCAGGTGGGCGGGGGCGCTGTCCAGAGGGAGTTGCGGGCCTTCCACTGGGACTTGGCTGCCAGGCCAAGGAGCCTTCAACCTGAACGCTTAAACGACGCACTGCTCAACGCGGGACGAGGTCGCCGACCAGCGCCCAAACCTCGTTAACCTCTGCGCCTCGGAGCAGGCCCCGCCGGCGGTGTTTCATCTCTTCGCGGGCGCCTCAGTGGTGGCCCTGCCGAAGAAGGACGGGGGCTTGCGCCTCGTGGGCAAGCCCCACTGCCACGAAGCCGACGCCGCGCGTGATCGACTGCCCCCCCTCCACATCGACGTTGCGGCCCCTGGTGGCGCCGAGGCGGCGGCGCACGTCGAGCACCATTGGTGGGCCCGCCACCTCGGGGACCGGGGAAAAGGTGTTCTGCCCAGTGTAACCCAAGCTCCATCAACGATGTTGCAATACGCCCTCCACTTGTCCAGCGCCTTCAACACCCTGGGCGGGCACCCTGGGTCGATAGGTGCTACTCCCGACAATCCGCTCCGAGAGCGGGGTGCAGCGGGCGACCCCTGGGGCTCTAATTCCCCCTGGCTTCGCAGCGCGCCGAGGCAGCCCTCCGCGCGCCGCGACGCGCCACCGACGGCGCCGTCGATCTGAATTCCTTCTATTTGGACAAAGGCTGCCTCGCGGGCGACGCGCTGGCCGTCGCGCGTCTCTTTGACTTGCGCATGGCCAATCTCGCCGCGGTGGACCTCCAGCTGAGCGCCAGCAGCGCCAGCTCGGGCAAATCCGAAGTGGCCTCTTCTGGCGGGGACGCCTCCGACGTGTCTCTGGGCGGCATCTCGATGGGCTTCCGCCTCCGCAGCGATCGCATCTTCGAGCTGCTCGACGCGCCAGTGAGAGACGCGGACTTCTGCGCGGTGCACGCCAGACGGCGGGTCGCGAGCGCCACCGCGCTGCTGGAAGTCCTGGGGGGCTCCGAAAAAACGCAGGTCACGCTGCACCTCCTGCGCCAACGCGCCTTCTTCTGCAAGCTGGGCCACTCCGCGCGCGTGGTGCCACGCACCGCGCACGCTGCCTCCCTGCTGGCCATGGGCGGCGCTGTCCGGGGCCTGACCTCAGCAACTGAGTGGCTGGTCGCCCTCTGACGCCTCCTCGCAGCAGGCTCAGCTCAAGCTCAACAAAGGAGGACTTGGCCTGCGCTGTGCCGCAAAGCGCGCCGCCGCCCGCTGCCGCCTACATCGCTTTCAAAGCGAAGGGCGCCGACCTCTGTCGGCTGTACTACCCTGGCTGCTCCAACAGTGCTGACCGCGATGGGGGTAACCTGGCGGCCGCGGTGCAGACACACAACGCAGACGTGCGGGACGCCGGCCCGAACCAGTGGGCCTTCTCCGACGCGGTGGGCAGCGCCGCGCTCGACCGGCTTCTGGAAGGCGCTACCCTGGCCGGCAAGGCGCACCCCTCCCTGGTGCAGATCCCAGGCGCTGCCGCGTGGTTCCAGGCGCCGCCCTGCGAGGCCACTGGCAACGAGTTCTCGCGCGTCCTCATGCAGGTCGGCGCGCGGCGAGGTGATGGACGTCTTCTGCGACCATGGTCTGCGCCTGCCGCGGCGACCGGGCCCAACGCAACGACGCCCTGCGCAACCAAGCCTTCGATACCTCCGGCCACGCCGGGGCGGAGTTGGAACGCCCGGGGCTGCTACCCCCGCGCCCCGCCGGGGAGGCCACCCCCCGTGGGAGAGCAGGACAGGCCACAGGTTGACGACAACGGCCGCTGCCCTGCTGACGACTACCTGACACGGTGGCGTAGCGGCACGGCGGCCACCTGGGACCTTGCCGCCACGCCTGGGTTGCGCGCGGATCGCCTCGCCGCGTGCCCGCTTCGTCCAGTGCGGCGACGGAGCGGCACGAGGAGTTCTACATGCAGCGCCAGGACACTGCGCAGAATTGCGCGGTACAGGGCATCACCATCGCCCCGATGGTGGTAGGGGTCCACGGCGGCGGGTGGGCTCGTGAGGCACGCAGGCCAGTCGGGGTCCTGGCCAGGCAAGTGGCCGACGCCACGGGGGACGACGCCGCACATTTCACGGACCAGCGCGCTCAGCGATTTCCTGCGCAGAGGGTGAAGGCGCGGGTGGTGTTGCGGCGCCCGCCCCAGAATGCAGTTCGGAAGGGCGCGGTTGGCAGCGGTCTGCCTGGCCGCGGGCACGGCTGCCTCGACGGCGGACGCCGTGTGAGGTTCCCACGCTGCCTACCGCCCCCCGCCGCCCCCCCGCCGCCCTCGATGGGCAACACGGGCGCCCCCCGAGCCCTTTCGCCAACGTCCCGCTGGCGACCCTTCACACGCGCCGTCTGGTCATTTCTCGGGGGGGGGGAGCCCGCAGAAGGCTCTCCACGCCAAACCGCAGCGTGCTGGGCTCGGTCGGCCACCCCGCCCACGTGAACGCCGCAGGGTCCGTAGCATCGTCCCGAATGGCCTTTTTTTCCCAGCCCCTGGCATGACCTGTCTGCTTGCGGTCGCGTCCCCTCCCATCCTCCTCGTATCCCTCTCTTTCCTCCTCTCTTTCCTTCTGCTCCCTGCCTTGTCTGACTGCGGCTGCTTCCACTTCCGTCCGCGTCGTTTTCCTTCTATTCCTCCTCCCTTTACTTTTGCGCCCGGCCTTGTCAGCTTGCGTTTGCGTGACCTCTCTTATTCCTTGCCTCCCTCCCGTTCTTCCTGTTCCCTGCCGAATTACTGTCTCCGCCCGGCCTCCCTTCCGCCTGCCCGCCCGCCCGCCCCGCCAGCCCCAGCCTCCCGCCTGCGCGTTCGTCGTTTTCTGCCTGATTTCTCTCCCCTTCGCCGGGCAGCAAAGCCTGCACAGGAGCAGCGTGGCGGCGCGTAGATGTGGAACCCGGGGGGGGGCCTGGCGGGAGGGCCCGCCGGAAGGTCCTGCGCCTCCCAGACATAGCCGCCAGACCGCCACACTCGCCCACCTTCTCCTTCCCGCGCCCCCGCTTCTCGCACTCACGAAGTTGGACCACCTATCGCGGCCGATGGTGCCAACCCTCGTTTGGAACGACATCGGGCTGGTCTTGGCCACTAGTGCGGGCGCCACCTGCACGTACAAATCTTGCGGACAGAAAAGGGTCGCGAGGCGGGGCGACAGTCGCGAAGGACAAGTCGCAGTGGGTGGGGGGCAGAGGAGACCGCGCATAAGGAATACGAGGAGAGCGAAAAGGGACCAAAGCTGCGGCAGGGGGGGGGGAGGAGGGGAAGCCTGAGGGGAGGGGGGTTAAGAGGAAAAAAGAGTTGATGATGATAATGGTGATGGTGATGATGATGATGATGATGATGATGATGATGATGATGATGATGATGATGATGATGATGCTGATGATGATGATGATGATGATGATGATGGTGGTGATGATGCTGATGATGATGATGACGATTATGTTGATGGTGGTGGTGATAATCGACCCACCTGAAGCGCAGTCTGTTTGCGTGCTAGGCCACGGTGCGGCAAATTGAACCCGCACGGCCCGCGCCCCCAGCGGCCCAAGGCCCGACACCGCCGCCAAGAGCAAGTCCGCAAGCCGCGCCACCACCAGCGACCTGTACTCTTAGGTCGGGCGTGTCCTCCGACAGGGGGAGGTCTTGCACGACAAATAAACATCACCAAACCAATCAAAGATACTCAAAACGTATCAAGCATCGTCCCCATTCTTAATATTTTTCAACAAGAACATATGTGTTTGCATATTCCTCCTGCGGAACGACACGCTTTGTGGGCCCGGGAAACTGCAAGGCCGTTTTTCCACCGTTTCCTAAAAACATGTCCTTTGAAAATGGAAACGGCACAAAAACGGCGACCGGGAACGGCAAAAAGACGGCTCCAGGATCGGAAGCGGAGCCGGAACTGGTCAAAAAGCGGCGACGGCACCGGCAAAAAAACGGCGTCGGAACCGGCAGCAGAAACACGGCAAAACGGAACCGGTAAAGAAAAACGGCCCTGTCGCTTCCAGGGCCCACTGCGCAGCGATCCGCCGCACCGCAGCTGGGCACCCCGCGTGCCGCCTCCCTCGCCGGGCAGGGCCGCCGCGCGGCGGGCCGCCGCCGCGGCCTCCGCGAGGAAGCGCGGCGCCGCGTCGCCCAGGCGACCCTCGGCCGCCACGGCGAACGGCACGACCGCGTCGGCTCAACGGTCGCGCTTCGGACGCTCCGCGTCCGCCGCTTCCTGGCCGGCCGACCGCTCCGCGGAGCCCGGCTCCGCGGCCGAGCGGGCCGTGACGCCGAGGATCGTGGTTCTGACGGTGGTGGTGTGGTGATGGCAGCGGCGGTGGACGAGTGGGAGGAGCTGGGGGAGGAGCAGGAAGATGAGGCTGGCATGTAGCAGTATTGGCAGGGTGGTGGCGGGGGGGTGGGGGAGGCGACAGACGGTGAGGTCCCCCCCCCCCTGGGGGACCAGACCTGCGGCGACAGCAGCCTGAGCTTGGCGCCCTTCTTGGAGGACGCGTGGCCTCCCCTCCCCCGCCACGGAGTGCGGCCCAGGGGGTGGCGGGAGCTGCACGGTTGTCCCCCGCGCACGAGGGGGGGAGGAAGAGGGAGGGCGAGGACGAGGAGGACGAGGAGGACGAGGAGGACGAGGAGGACGAGGAGGACGAGGAGGACGAGGACGAGAGAGGACGAGAGAGGACGAGGACGACGAGGAAGACGAGGATGAGACGACGAGGCCTACGAGGAACGAGAGGCGGGGGGACGAGGGCGAGGAGGACAGAGAAAGGGGACGATGAGAAGGACGCTAAACGCACAGAAGCTTGACGTGTTTCCCCACGTTTGGTGTGTCATCGGCACTTGGGTCCGCACGGACGTGGGGTTCCCCACGCTTAGGTACGCCGCCGGCGCCGCTCCGCCTGCCGGGGCTCTCCCGCAGGCGGGGCGCTCCTCGCTCCTTCCCTCCCCCCCCTCTTCCGCCCCTGCCTGCTTCCCTCCCCCCCTCGCGCGCCGCCATGGCGCCGCTTGCTGCCGCTCCTGGCGCGCAGCCCCACCCCCACAGGTGCCTCTGGCTGCGGATGCTGCGCATAGGGCGCACCTCCCCACAGCTTGCCACAGCGTTTTGCTGTCGGCAGTCCCCAGCCTGGACCCCCGCACTGCTTCACAGCTTGCTCTGCCTCGTACGGCGCACCGGCAGCGCCCGCGGGTGCCTCGAAGCCGCGGCCCGGCTGCTGCCACGGCCCCGCTGCCGCTGATGGCCGCGCCGGCCCACTCGACAGGCAGATGTCTTCCGCGTCTGGGTGACCTCCCCCTCCTCCCGTCCTCCGCGGCCGCCTCGTCCCCCCTTTTTCCCCCGCCTGCGCGCCGGGCAATTTGCGCATCGGTCGCCCCAGATCGCCGTTCGCTGGTGCACCACTTCTGCCTCGACGCCGACGTAAAGAGTGTCATCGGCACCTCGAATGTTTCTAGGAACCGCACAGCATGTCCAGAATTTGCACGCGAAGCGGGTCCTCTACTATTGATGGGTGGCCTCCCCAGGGGTGCGCTTTGCGTGGGTTCCCAACAAAAATGTAGGTAGGTGAAAAGAAGGAAGGAGCAGGAGAACCAGGAGCAAAGCGAGGCATAGGGTGCGCAGAATCAGGCGCGCGACGCGGGCTCGAGCCCACCCGCGACACGCGATGCAGGCAACGGACCAAGCCTCCAGGAGCCAGCGAGGTTCGATGGCCGGTGCTTCTGCATCGCTTTAGCCCAGTCGGGGGTTCCAAAAACTATCGCCGTTCGAGGATCCAGGTGCGCGGCGCGGGCGCGGGCCAACGGGCGACACACTAAGCATGCTTTGAAATTTTATTGGGGAGGGGGATAGGGCTGGAGGCCCGGGGCCTCAAGAGGGCAACGCCCAGGGCGTCCTTCGAGGTCACCCCAGACATACTCACCCGACAGATTAGCGCTCAGCGCGCTCCCAGCTGGCTGGAACCACAGCGGCCCCTCGGGGCGCAGGTGGTTTACGGATTCAACTGCTCCAGCCCCTGTCCTCTCCTTCGGGGCAGGTTTTCCATCCTCTCCCTGCTCCACGCCAAAGGACTTCGCCCCGCCAGGTGCAGCCTCCTTGGGGCCAATTCGGGCCCCTTCTCGGGGGCATCGCGCAGTCGGAGACTTCGTGGGGGTCCGAGGGCACCCGTCTGCGGGCACAGGAAGCATCAACGCCATGGGAAAGGATGGGTGCCAGGGGTAGGACATCGGGTATGGGGCGAGTGTACCTGGCTTCCCTTCCTCCCCTCGGCCCCCCCTTCCACTTCCGCAACGCCCTCTGCAAAAATCTAGGCACCGCAATCGAATACAAGACCGCCGACGAACCCGACAACCCAGGGGACGTGGAATCCGGCGAGCGTTGGGACGGGGAATCTGACGAAAGAGCCCTGGGAACCTAGTCTGGAGGTCGTAAGCGCCACCAGGTCTCTTGCAAAAAGGTTAGGGCTAGAGAGGAAATTTGGAGAATGAGGAAGGAAGGAGACGGGAGAACAATACTCAGCAGGGATGAGAGAAGAGTCAAGCAAGAGGACGGCGGACGGAGAAACAGAGGGATGGAAGGAATGAGGCCGGCATGGACGCGCAAAGAGGAAGGAGAGAGAGAGAAGCGGCATGGACGAAACAAAAAGTGTACGAACGAGAAGGCACGTCGAAAAAATGATGGACGGAGGAACTAAGAGGCCATCATGGGGCTCTCGTGGATTCGTGGGGCCGTATCTGCAGAATCTGTTGGAATAGAACTGCTTGGCACTCTGTCTGTTTTTGTTTGCCAGCTGCGAGACCTTTGATGACTCTCAAGTGGCCCGTTGGGTGACACATGGGTGCTCAGACCTCGTCGTGGGCTCTTTGAGCAAGTGGGGACTCATGTTGGGATATCTCGAAACATCTTCGGATCATCTGAAGGCCTACTGGGGCCGAGGCTGGCCTTGGGGGCATTCGAGGCCAAGCTGAGGACCCTCGGAGGGCCTCTTAAGACGGTCGCCGCCTGTCCGAACCCCCTGAGGAATCATTTTCGGCTGGCAAATTGCGAATCTCCGAGATGCAACCAACAAATCCGTGAATGCCTGGAAGAAATGGGTCAGCTGGGAGTCCTTCAGGATCTTTTGACAAAGAACCTTAGAACACAACTCCCCGACCGCTCCCCCACTGACCGCGCCTGGCGGCCGGCGGGGGCGCCTCGGGACACCAGGACTTCATCCTCGAACGCCCCAAGGGCCCCCCCCCTTGCCCGCGTCTCGCGGCTGGGGTGGGCGCCTCGGGAAACCTCGGCCTGCCGCAAAGGGGGGGTAACGCAACGGGGGGGGTAGCGCACGCAACCCAGATTGAGCAATCGGAAGCGGCGGGCCGTCTCGCAATGTGTGCGGCGCTCAGGATGCCCGCTGGATGTCTGACGGCGGCTCTCCCAAACTCGAAGCGCAATGAAAAAATCGCAACAAAGTTGCGGTCTACACACCAGGCGAACGCAACCTAGGCAGACATTTGGATGCGCGAAACTGGCTGGCGGCCAAAAGTTGCAATGCATGAAAGTGTCCCAAAAGTGCCCCTAAACTGCCCCCGTGGGTCAAAAAGTGGCTCGAAAGTGTCCTTAAAGGGGCCCAATGCTGCTTTGCACGTAATGAAAGAAACCGAAAAAGTGCATCCACTTTTTGGTGCGCGCAGCGGCCGCGCGCGCCCGGCCCGTGTGCCGCAGCGTAACCCGCGGGTTAGGGTCGGTCAGAGAAGAGCTCTCTGTGGCCCACGCACAACTCACTACGGCGTTCACCGCGCAACGAACGTCGGGCCAGATGAAAGAGCCGAGGATTTACAAAAACGTGCAATGCAACAAAGGGTCCCTTTAGGGTGCAAAAAGGGCATGTTTCTTCACCCCCCCTTTGTTGCCCCCCCCTTTCCGTCAGCCCGAAAACCATGGCCTCAATCTTGGACGCCCCCCGGGCACCCAGGAGAGCTCAGAATCGGATCGACAAGTCGGATCGGCGATCGAAATGAATCGGATCGGCGGAAATCGGCAGCCGAGTCGGGAGAAGTCGAATCGACTGACATCGGCAGGCTAGCAGGCCTCCAGTGAGGAATCGAAGTCCAGATCGGACGCCGAAATCGAATCGAATCGGAATCGGAAACCATCGAGATCGAATCGAACTCGGAATCGGCGGCATCGAGAGGAGCCCTGCCTCGGCACCTCCCTCTGACCGCGTCTCGCGGTCGGGGGGGCGCCTGGGGACAGCACGGCTTCAGCCTCGGACGCCCCCCCCCTGGCACCTCCCCTCGACCGCGTCTCGCGGCAGGGGAGGGCGCCTCGGGACACGCCCTGGGAGGGGTCGATGGGTCGATGTGCCGCGGGCGACGGGGAGGGCCACGAGTAGCGAGAGAGAGGAAGAACGAGAGAGAGACAGACAGAGAGAGAAAGAGAGAGAGAGAGAGAGGATGAGCGAGAGAGCGAGGCAGAGAGAGAGAGAGAGAGAGCGGTACGTATGCATGTATAATCCGCCGGCCCCTTGTGGGACCACCAGGCTGTAGGCCGAAGGTTCGCAGTTTTCTGTACCAGTTGCAGCTTCCAATTTTCACTGTTACAGTTCTGCTTTTTGCTGCGTACGGTTCCTTGTTGATGGACCGCGCGAGCGGGGGGGAGGCCCAAACGAGCAGGTTTAGCACGCCCTGAGCGTGTGCTCTGAATTGCTGGGGTGGGTAAAAATTGACACCCCTCACGCAAATCGGCGGGGTGAGGGTCCAAAAATATTCGGGATTTGCCTCATTTCTGACATTCGGTGGCACCCCTCAAGCAGATCGGCGGGGTGAGGGTCCAAAAACACGCATATCGGCGGGGTCAGGGTCCAAAAACACATGAGATGTACAACATTTCTGACATTCGGAGGCACCCCTCACGCAGATCGGCCGGGTCAGGGTCCAAAAACAAATAGGATTTGCCACATTTCTGAAATTTGCTGGCACCCCTCACGCAGATCGGCGGGGTCAGGGTCCAAAAATATATTGGATGTGCCAGATTTCTGAAATTCGATGGCACCCCTCACGCAGATCGGCGGGGTCAGGGTCCAGAAACCCAGGGGATTCTGAATATTTCTTCGGTGGCACCCCTCACGCGGATCGACAGAATCAAAAACATAGGGGATGTGCCACATTTCTAAAATCCGGCGGCACCCCTCACGCAGATCCGCAGGGTCAGGGTCGACAAACACAGGGGATTTGCCACATTTCTAAAATTCGGAGGCACCCCTCACGCAGATCCGTAGGGTCAGGGTCGAAAAACAAACAGGTCCCGACACTGCTTCACGGCGGCGCCCAGACCTCATGATTTAGCCTTTGCATCTCCCATTCTCCGAGACAGGGGGCCGGCGGCATGGGACGAAGCCATCTATAATAAACAGAAAGAGGGAGAGAGAGAGAGAAGAGAGAGAGAGAGAGAGAGAGCAAGAGAGAGAAAGAGAGAAGCAAACATCAAACACATAAGATAGAACGAGAGAGAAAGAGAGAGAGAAAAGGAGAGAGAGCAGGAGCCAGCTATATCAAGACATCGAGGGAGGGGGAGGGACAGACAACAACAGATAGCACAAGAGAGCGAGAGAGGGGAAATCTACAGAAGGGCAACGGTGGAACCTCCGGTGCGGCGGGCCCGACACGCTTGTTGCCCGCCGGAGGCGCCCGCCCGAGGCCGCGTCCCGCCGCGCCTTCCCCCAGACAGAGCAGAGCGAGGGGGGCCAGGCGGTCTTACACCGCCCGTGAGGTCGAGGGTGTGGGCTCTCGCTGCCATCACTGCAGCTCGTAGTGCCAGGACTACTGTCATGCGTCTTATTATTCGTGCTGCCTGCTGCGTCCGCGACCCGCGCGCGCCCTGCCCCGCGCCCTGCCCCGCGCCCTGCCCCGCGATCCCGCCGCGACCCGCCCTGCGATCCGCCACCTGCGACCAGCCCGCGACACTGCTTCAACCAGATCGGCACCTGCGGCGGGACGACTCACTCGCCTTGCTTTCAGATCGGCCCCTGCAGAGTGCTGTTTTGCACCTACGTGGTCAGCCGGACACTACTACGTGGCCCAGCCCAGGCGCTACCTTGTTCTTGTCCATATATGTAGACACTACGTATATGATGCATCCATCTTGAGTTTTCCATCCTGCGCATAACAGCAGGCCACATTCACGCGTGGGCGCAAGTTTCAGACGGAGACGGGCAGTAGTTCCTGTAGGCTCACGAAGTGGCCGCCAAAATATACATAAAAAACAACTCATGCCGCTGCTCAACCTCGCCTGAACACATCTCTCGTACTAGTCCTTCAAAGCGGCTGCCAAACATAGACCTATCAAGTTGAGCCCCCTCTCATCAGAATGTTCCATATGAGTTTCGTTGTGCTCACGCTCGCAAGACCTGGCTTTCAATGAACATGTCTATGCACCCGCCCGTGCATTTGCATGTTCACACGTGTTGCCTCCTTTCGTCGTTGCCGTTATTTCCCGTTATCTCTCATGTTTCCTCCCTCATCCTCACACCCACTCCTCGCGCGAGCGCCGTTGACGTCGTCTTCCTCGTCATGATCCAATGCGCGCTGGCCCTTTCTCATCGCTCGTGGTGCTACTGCGAAGAAACTACATACGTCGCCGCATAGTCTAACCACGCTCACCCCGGAACTGTCCGCGCGCGCCTGCCGTAAACCGACCGCCACAAAAGTGCCCGAGGCGCCCTCGGAACCCGTACGGATGCGACTCCGCCTTCCTCGCCCCCAAATCTCCACCGCCCCATGTGATTCATGACTGCAGCCATCGTGGTGCTACAATGAGGAACGCAAAATCATGATCGAGGTTGCTTGCATGGCCACGACGGGCCTCTGCTACGAACAAATTCCCTGACCTCGATCTGAAGTCAACTCAAAAGCCGGAGCCGCTCCTGAGCCCAAAGTGGTCCTTACTTCAATGCTTCGAGTGTGCGGGTTTTTGCCTGGCGAGGAGACCAACGAACACACCTAGGCCCACAATGGCACCCTGGGGCCGAACAGCACTAGAATGACAGCGGCGTACTTTCATGACGGCACATGTCGGGGGGCCTAGATGCGTGTGGAGTACATCTCTGACACCAGGGACCTGCTCTGGACGGTCCCGGCGTCCCCGCAAACGCGCAGAAGAAACAGGACCACAACATGGGGGGGCCCTCCACATCTCAATTGATAGCAAGAGCAAGATGATCCTCCCATGACTCCAGAAGTCGTAGACTTACGTCGGGCGTGTCCTCCCACATGGGGATTTGAATAACAAATAAAAGTGCAAGAAAAAAGCCGAAGCAGACTCAAACATGAGCAACAAATTGTCCCCAGACCATTTGCTTAGTATTTTCACTCCTGTAGAGCGACGCGCCCGACTTCATCGTAGACTTCGCTGACCCGGTGCCCCGTCCCCGAAGTCCCTTGCGCCGGGTCTTCTTGCCGCTGCTGCTGGGCCCGACGTGGCCACCGCTCGGACCGCTCTGGGGGCCTGGCCAGCAGATCCGGTCGAGGCAAACAGTGGCGTATGATCTTAGCGCGTCGGCCCCCCGTAGACACGAGCACAAGGCCGTACAAAGCCCGTATAACACACACATTCACACTTGCAACCAGGCACGCAAACACACACACACACATACGCGCACATACACACACGCACACAC